GTTAGGCTCAGGGGAGCGTGTTGCCCTTAGCATCACAGGCCTCACTCAGAGAACTTGGTTGAATTGCAGTTGCCATTTACTTGTTGATATTCTCCTCTAGTCTGTAAGCTCACTGAGGGCAGAGACCCTTGGTAATTACATGCTCTGTATTACACTACAGCTCCTGAAGCAATGTCCAGCCCACGTTGCAAACAATAAATATTTCCTGTATTAAATGGGTGAATAAAAAAGACCATACTTGGCCAATAATAATTCATAAACAAATATCTGTTAACTTATATTAAATATGGATATTAAAAACACAGATGGATACAACCAAAGAAGGAGAAAAAAAACTGACGTCTTGGATATTTTCAATTCTGGTTTTTTTTTTTTTTTTTTTGGCCGCACTGTGTGGCTTGTGGGATCTTAGTTTGCCAACTAGGGATCAAACCCCATGCCCTCCACAGTGAAAGCATGGAGTCCTAACCATTCTCTGGACAGCCAGAGAATTCCCTGGACATTTTCAATTTAATAGTTATTTCCAACTTTAGTGAGTGTTTGGGTATTTTTCCTGATTGTTAAGTTTGATTAAAATAAATTGAATGATAATTTCTAGCATTTCTGAGTGCTTAGTTTACGTCAGGATCTCTTCTAAACTTTTATATTCATTATCTCATTTAACTTTTTACATCAGCGTTATGAGATATCTTCTACTAGTATTATCATTCTTGAAAGATGAGAAACTAAGCCACAGAAATGGTGAGTAATTTTTCTCAGATTACACAGCAGCTACTTGGTGGCAGAGTTGGGATTCAAACCCAGGCAGTTTCTCTCCAGAGGTGACCTACTCAGCTACTCTCTGGATTTCTAACTCCCAGTCTAGAATTTCTTAACTATTAGAAAACGAAGAATAAAATAAATATGACAACTATAAACGCCCACATATGCAGCCAGAAAATGAATGACAAACTGGGAAAGACGTTTGTAATTCATACCAGAGAAAAAGGACTAATATACTAAGTCATCATAGAAATCTCTAAGTGAAAGACAAGAGACTCAATAGGAAAATGGGCAAAGAATATAGATCGTTCACTGTCCCCCAAAATACATATAGCCTTTAAACTTATGACAAGATGTGTAACCTGATTAAGAGAAAGGCAAATTAAAACTATTCAAAGATACCATTTTTCACCTATGAGGTTGGCAAATATCAAGCTGTTGGCCTAGAGCTCCCATTGGCAAAGCTTTGGAGAAACAAGCACTCTTACACTCTGCTGGCGAAAGTGTAAAATAATACCCACCCACGGGACTGTGGGGCAATTTCAGCAAAAGCTTGAAGCCGATACCTTTTGATCCAGTTATATCACTTCTCGGAATTAATCCTCAGGTACAATTATCCATTTGCAAAATGATATGTGAATAAGGATATTCATTGCAACATGGCTTATAATACAAAACTGGAAACAACCCAAATGTTCGTTAATAAAAGTGGTTATCTGAACTGCATATCCAGACAATGGAAAATTAATCATTTGTGAGGAGAAAGAAGAAGTTCCTTTTCTACTGATACAGAAAGGTCTCAAGGATATATTGCAAAGCAAAAAGAAGAAAAGCAAAGTACAAGATAGTATATATGATATGATACCTTTTATGAAAGAAAGAGGAAGAGGAAGATTATAGTTAGCTCCATGCTTTAATCCACATAAAGACATACTGGAAAGATACAGGAAATTAATAAAGGGTATTCCCTGTGGGGAAAGGGTGAGGTGGGAGACGGGGAGTGATCTAAGTACTTTACATATAACACAAATCTCATGAAAAGCTAGGAGTAGGGAAATTAAGACTTCTCAATATATACTTGTTATATTTTTTGACCCTTGAACCAGGTAAATATTTTGTTATTTACAAATGAAAAGGAAGAAACTAACGATAGCTATACTCACAGCCAGCTTGCCTGTCACTGTGCTAAGCACATTGCATTTATTATCTCGGGGATTTCACAGCAGGTCACATTTTTATTCCTATTGTGCAGGTGCTAGGAACAGATTTAGAGAAGTTAAGGAATTTGCTTAGGGTCACACAGCTAGTAAATTGTGGACCTCAAACTCAAACCCAACTGCCTGACTCTGGAACCTATATTATGAGCTGTTACTCTACTTGTACAGGGTTTGTTTTTGCTTTTGTTTTTTCACATTTCTATTCTACCTTGAGAGACATAAGAGATGATGTCCCCTCATGACCTAGTCTCATGGGCATGCTTGTGTTTGCAAACAAGTGATTGTTGGAAATCCCCAACTGTTCAGCAGTTGCAATAGCTCATTGTAGCAATGGCTTAAGATACAATGTCTGTGGCCATGTGCTCTCCCCCAAAGGCTAGCTGTAATTCCATCCCCTCCTATCCTAAACCAGAAAGCATATCAAAGTGAAAGGAATAGCAAGGTTATTATTTTAAGGAATACTTCACATTTATTCAGTTCTTACAGCGTGCCAAGCACACATGTTGTAAGTGTATAACATGTATAAAGATTTAATGTTCACGTAGAACCTTATTAGGTAGGGACTTTCCTTGACATTGTTATGGGCTGAATTGTGTTCTCTCAAAAAGATATGTTGAAGTTCTATACCTTGTACCTCAGTATGTGACTTCATTTGGAAAGAGGGTCTTTACAGAGGTCATCAAGTTAAAATGAGCTCATTACGATGGACCCTAATCCAGTATGACTGGTGTCCTTCTGAAAAGGGGAAATCTGGAGCCAGACAGACATGCACAGACAGGAGAGGATGTGAGGATGGCCATGTGATAACAGAGGCAGAGATCAGAATGATGTAGCTGCAAGCCTAGGAATGTGAAAGATTGCTGGCCACCACCATAGACTAGGAAGGATCCCCCACGAGAATTTCAGAGCGAGCGTGGTCCTGCTGACACCTTGATTTCAGACTTGTAGCCTCCAGAACTGTGAGACGATAAATTTCCGTTCTTTGAAGACACCCAGTTTGTGGTACTAGGAAATGAATACGGTCACCATCTTACAGAGGAAGAACCAAGGTACAGAGATGTTGAGTAACAGTTCGTAGAGGTTGTCCAGATTTATACAGTTGGTCAGTAAGTATTGGCGCCTCAACCTGAGCTTGGGAAGGCTAACCTGAGCTTGGGAAGGCTGGTTCCAGAGGAATGCTTCATTCTGATCTGTATACTAAAATCATTTGCAAACCTCAGTTCTGTGGCTGAACTGTGTGTCCTGCTTCATGGCTGGTCTGAACACTCTGTTTGACCTCAACCCCGTATCAAAGGGCAGAGCACAGAGTGTTTGGAGCGGGACAACCCTACCACACTCCCGAGGGCATGGCAGTGAGAGTGATTGCAGCCAAATCCCAGCCAGAGGTGCAGCTGCTCAGAGCTGGGGGGCAGCCAAGGGGGCTTTCTGGTCCTCCCTGAAACAGATGAGGGTGGCCAGGACCCAGGGGGTCCAAACTTCAAAGCGGCGGAAGCCTTCCTCATGGCCTCTCATTTTCTGACGAGCAAGTCACAATCCAGGAATTCGGGTTTTTAAATTACTTTTTTAACTTAAGAAAGGGTCAGGGTAATTACAAGAGGGCTAAAGCCACTTTCAGTAACTGCCTTCCCAGATCCCCTTTGTACCCGATGCCCAGTAAATGCAAATATTTTCTGAATAGAACAATACTTCTTTTTTTTTTTTTTTTGCAGTACGTGGGCCTCTCACTGTTGTGGCCTCTCCCGTTGCGGAGCACAGGCTCTGGACGCACAGGCTCAGCGGCCATGGCTTACGGGTCCAGCCGCTCCGTGGCATGTGGGATCTTCCCGGAACGGGGCACGAACCCGTGTCCCCTGCATCGGCAGGCAGACTCTCAACCACTGTGCCACCAGGGAAGCCCTAGAACAATGCTTCTTAAATAATGTGGGAAGAGGAAGTGATGGGATGAAGGAAACCCTGGCGGAGCACTTCACCCAAGCTCTGGCTGGTCCGTAGAGTGCCTCTGTGTGCCCCCTCCTAGAAGATGCAACCCTGTGAGCAAACCACATGCCTGGTGGGGTCCAGGCGGAATGGCAGCCTCCACTGCAGTCGGGAGGCTGGCAAAAATGTGCCTGAGATGGACATTAGCGTCCAAAATAGAATTTGGTGAAACCGAGAGTCAACTGACCAAAGGGAAATTAGATACAGGTCACAGTCACAGCAGGCAGAGGGACAGTGTTTGGGTAGATAATTTCCCCCAGCTATATTGTCAAAGGCCAGAATATTTTAATACCATCACCGGATGAGATCATGCTGTATCAGATGACACAGGACTGTGGGTTCTCCAGCCACTCTGGGTACAGTGTAGACAGTCAGTGAGCACACCTTGTCTGGTTGGTTTATCTCCTGGATGGGCTTGGTGTGGGCTTCATGTTCCCAATTAGGATCAGAGCGTAAGAAGAGAAAGTGTCTTTCCTGGAAGCCTGGCCAACAGGTCTGCACCATGGTGATTCTCCTCGAATGGAAGAAAATACCACCCTAAACCTAAGGACAAAACGTGTGCCTCTGGATACAACTTGGGATGTCACGGAGGAGAAGCAAAATGCTTAACCTTTGCCTGATGTGGGGCAAAAGGAGGATGTAGCCAATAGTTAAGAGTGTTAGACACTGAGGCAGAGTGAGGGAAAGATTTATTGCCTTAAATTTAAACTTCTCAGACCTTAGATACTGATATACCCAGGTTTATTATACTCTAGTAAAAACCAACTTTGTTTCCTAAGTCCAGTATTTGAAGACTATCTCAGCCTTCACACTTGAATACCTTGTTTAAAAGAAATCCCTGGAAACAGCAGCAGGTATCCTCAGAAGACTCTGAAAGACACACTCAGGCTTTTTCTCACTCTTTTTCAAAGTTTAAATTCTGGGGCTCTATGTCTCGATGTGCGTGAAAATGTTTTACCTGCTTTGCTGCTCTGCTACTAAAGCAAACTCTGAAATATCGACGCCTACAGGGAAATTCCAGAGACAAAGGGAAAAGCGACTCACCTGGGAGTGGGCCCCGCTCTCAGCAGACTTATTTCTAAAACGCATATTGCAAAGGCGAACCTCCGGCTGGTAGACATCTGCTCTAGCTAGGCAGCTCCGAGTGGAATGGCCAGATGGTTCCTGGAAGACATTTATTTGCAAAGGACTGGGGAACAATTATTGTTTGTTTTTGCTTAGAACTTTTGTCAGATTGGGCTTCCTGGGTGCCAAAGTCCAATCAGAGGAGAGTCATTTCATAACTTGGGCTTACTGTTTTGGCCAAGAATAGACTTATCAATTGTACCTTCAGGCAAGGGGCCTGTGAATGCTAAACAGCTGAGATTAGCAGCAGTACTGTGTTGAAAAAAAAAAAAAAACCAAGCAAACAGAAGACTCCGGTGGTTTTCATTTTGGGAGACTCTGGAAGGGATGATAAGAGACTGTGTAGTTTGGGGAAAAAAAGGTCTGTGGATGATTCCCATAGAGGCAGAAACTCAAAATTAGTAAAAGAATTGCACCGACCAGAAATGGAGGCACAGACGTAGATGTTCCAGTCTGAGGATGAGCTGTGTGGGTTATTTCCGCATGGGCAAAGTGCAAAATGCATTTACAAACCTGGCTTTTTTTAACAGGTATAGTGGGTCATTTTGAAGAATCCAGGTACCCTCCCTAAGGCCTTTCCAATATCTTCCAGAAGGATATGGTCTCTTTATCTCAGAAACACACCTGTCAGCAAGATAGAGTCTGAGATGGAATAACTTGCTCTAAACCCATCGGAAAGAATTTTTTCCCCTCACTTTTATGTTCTTCAGGACTTGTGGAAAGGGCAGGATATTTTGGAATTACCGGAAAATGGGGACATCACAGCGGCTTTTAAAACACTGGTTGCACAATAGAATGACTTGGGGACTTGTGAAAAAACACTGGTGCCTGACCGCTCCCACCTGACACTAATTATTGATCTGGGATGGGGCCCTGCATCAGTAGTTTTTAAAGCTTTCTGGGTCATTCGAATGTGTGGTCAGGGTCGAGAATTCACATGACTACCTGGAGAAAAAACACATGAGATGCGGTATGTTATTGATTTTTAAAAATTCGCTAACACTTAAGGGGACTTCATAAGTATTCATTAATCAAAAATAGGCAATTTTCAACCATTAGCACATACAAAGATGAGAAAAACACAAGGGAGGGTTGAGGAGATAACAGACATAGAGCTAGTTTTTCCAGTACTGCCTACCTTTTGATCTTTTCAATGGTCTTACCTAGAGTAAAATTACCTCGTCTTATCACCCTTTCTTGCCCCCTCTTTTCTTCTTCTTTTTTTATGCAGGGCTAGAGCTCTCTAATGGGACTAATTTCATCAGTTCCTGTGTCTGCTGTGTAGACAATTTTCATGGTCGACATGTAGGTCTTGCAGAGTTGCCAAGTAATAAGGTGATTCAAATGTGTGCGGCGACACTTATAACTACCTCGATGAATAAATCTATGCAACAAGACACTTCTTGGGAATCTTTGCAAATGACAAGTGGGCTGTATCCAGATACGGTAGGAATCTGTCAGATATAATGGAAGAATGCTGAGCCCCCTCTCTTACATGGCCTCTCTGAACCCTGCCAGGATATGTATGGAAAGAAGGACTTGGAAGCAGGCAGGGTACAACGATGCTTTATGCTAATTAGACTTAATGCTAATTGATTAGACTTCATGATAATTGACTTCACAATTAGACGTGACTGGAGATTGAAAAATCACCTCTCTCCCTGGAGACTGACTCACTGGAGGCGAGGAATGGAGTATAGGGGTGTTTCTTCGCTGACTGGTTTGAATGTTGAATTGCTCCGTAGAAGTTATATTTATTTTTTTCTCCATGGTTCAGGCAAAATGTAATGTAGCAAAGTAATGGAAGCAGTAAAGTATAATAATAATAATATACTATAATAATAATTATTATGAAAATATAGTATGTCTTACATTTTTGTCGCACTTTTAACTCTTCTTTGCCCTTAACATCTATCACGTATTAGGACATGTTTTGAAATGAGGTTTGTGTTTATCTCAGGGAAATGAAGACTACAGCAGTGAAAATGGTAACATTTTTAATTTGTGTAATACTTAATGGCTTCCAAAGAACAGAATGAATAAATGTTTATGGAATTTCTGTAATATGCCAGGTTATATACGCGTAATCTCATGTAATCCTCAAGATAACCCATTTTACAGTTGAGGAAACCGAGGTGCACTGAGATGACATCGTTTGTCCAGCATCACCCACCCCCAGTGGTGAGTAGCTGGAATTTGAACTTGGTGAATCTCAGGCTCGTCCATCAGTTCTGTTGTTATTATTCTAATTATGTAATGTGAAACAACATGAAATTATAAAATTCCTCACTAAATCCTCTCAACTCCAAAAAAGGTAAGCTTTCAGTGTAGTCTTACAGATGAAACTCAGAGAAACGACAGGCAAGGTGACATGTAAAGAAATGGCAGAGGTGGGATTTGAATAAACCATGTCTTCAAACTCTCATTCCAGGGTTTCCCACTCTGTTGAGGGTTCTCTAAGTTTTCACCACTCAGGGGCCTTTTAAAATTAAAAAAAAAAAAATATTCCCACTGGTTTCAATTTGCTTGGGAACTTTGCGAGGTTAAATTATATTTATCGCACAATAATAATACTTTTCCCCATTTTTAAGGCAGAGGCACGCACACGTGGACATTAGGATGTGTGCCCATCAGGCAGAAACCCTGAATTTTTACAGAGGTGATATAAATGCACTGAGCAAAATTTCCATTTGGCTCTTCTAAAGTGGTAGAATCAGTGTTTTGAAAGTTTATTGTTAGTAATTTCATGGACTCCCTTTTAGGGTCCAGAGATTTCAAGTTGGGAACAGTTGTCTCATTCCATATAGGCTTCTAGCTGAGTCCCAAAAGATCCATGTGTCTTCCAATGCTATGGACTTGTTGTGCTTTTACTTACAACACATGCACTTGCTGTAGATAATTAGAATCATTGAACAGGGAGAACTTGGAGATGACTGTCCACTGTAGACCCCTTGGTTTTAGGTGTGTTTTCCTTGCCGCTAGGTCCTTAACATCGAGGATTGTGCCTAGCACATATTAAGCTTCAATAGATATTGCGAGTTATATGCATTAATAGATGAATGAATGAATACAGGTGGGGAAAGTGATGTCCAGGACAGGTAAGTGACACATCCAAGGTCACACAGTCAGGGGCAGAGGCAGCGTCAGATTTCAGCTCTCTTCACTGCTGGTTCTGTGCCTGTTCATTACAATATTCTCAGCTGAGCTCTTTTACAAGAAAGGGGAAAGGACTTCTCTATGGAGTGGTTTTGGGGCTATTGTGAAGCTCAATGGGGTGATGTAAGTCTGGCTGTCCCTTTACAGTAACGAGGATTCCTGTGGCTCAGATCTGTTTACAATCACATGGAACTACTTGGGAACCACTTGACTGCATTACAGCTCTTCATTTTAAGGGAAGATTCCACACAGTCCCTTTCTCTTTTGAAGTGCACAAAGTCTGGTTCTGTTACCTCCTATCTTTCTGTTTACCAACACTCTTGACCACTTACCTTCACGGAAGGCTTTGACGTCATGTTAGAATCTCCCTCTCCACTCACACCCTAGCCTTTACTTTAGTTATTTCAGTATTCTTAAAGGCACCATACTCACTGCCTTGATTTCATCAGTTCTATCAATATTTGTCTTAATTCCATTCAGCCCACTGCCATGCTCAGCTTCATCCCAACACCTGTCATGGCTTTACCTTGAGAACGTCAATGATCTCTTCTCTGACCACAATTTCCAATTCTTCCAGCTACCTCACTCTCATAATACTCTCAATATCCCCTTTCTGTGGCTTTACTGAGACATCCAGCTCCTCGATTTCTCCATATTCCCCCAGATTAACACCCTCTTGCTGGCTTCTTTTCCTTTCCTCCTCTGTGTGGATTCCCTGCCCATTAATGGGCCCTTCTCACAAGCTCAACCCCCTCGCACCTCTTCCATCCCTCGGACCACCGTCTACAGACTCTCATCCTGGGATCAGTCCTACCAGTTCAGTTTTCTGCTGCCCTGCCTAAATCCAGTTGGACACTCATCTTTGTTTACTCATTGGACTTTGGACAGATTTTTTCTCCATTTCTCTTAAAGGCTCCTTCACCTCTTGCTCTACCGAGAAATTCAGAAACACTTTGGCTTCCAGTGGGTGCCTGTCGTGTCAACGTCCATGCACCTCAATCAAACCTCCAAGGGCAGGCTTGCTTTTGTTTAGGAAAATCTGGTGCTCTATCGTTACCTCTTGACTTGCCAGGATTCTGCTGTATTAGCTGTGCTTTCCCTTATATCCTCCATTTCTTCAGTTTGATCAATTTCTTCTCCTCAGCCTTGTGAATAGCTCAAATCTCTTTTATCTTTATAGAGTTCTACTGAATTCTTTGATTTTTTTCTCATTGCTACCACCCTTGCCAGCCAAACTTTTGCAGTCTGTATCAATTTTCTTCCTTTACTACATGGTTCTTCCTTTACCTTCAACTTATTGCAGCCTGCCTTTTATTCCATTGAAGACCTCCTTACTGCTAAATTTGAGATACATGTTTTGGCCCTATCTTTGTCTCATAGAGGCATTTGACCCTACTGGCCGCTCTTATGCTTTAAAATTCTCTGTTCCTTTGGCTTTTGTGATACAACATTTCCTGTTCTTCTGCTTCTCAATCGTTAGCTCCTCTCCCTTGTCCATCATGCAAATTGTACTATTCCCCAGGGGGGTCTGTCCTCTGTCTTCTTCACTTCTCAATATCTACCTATTTTTCTTACCTATGCTTTAACAGTAAACCTATCATTTAGAACCAGAAGTCTCAAAGGGTGGTCTGTTGACGTTCCTTTACCAAAATCTTCTGAGTTCTTATTTTGAAAGTATAGATACCTAGAAGCAATAATTTTCAAAAATGTAAAGCTTATTGTGTTACTTTCCAGCTTAACAATCTTCGAGTAGTTCTAAGAAATCTCCAGGTGGATTTTAATTTGTCCATAAGTTGAACTTGCCATGTCTAAAATCAGATGCGTAATTCTTTCCCTGCCCCTGTCAAGGAAGCTCTTCTTATATCCCTTA